GTCTGTTTATCTGCTGGCATATACAGTCTTCTCGGTCCATCAGTGGACAAGGGAAGAGCTACTGATGTCATCTATCTGGACTTCTGTAAGGCATTTAGCACAGTCCCCCACAATGTCCTTCTCTCTAAATTGGAGAGATACAGATTTGCTAGACGGACTGTTTGGTGGATGAGGAATTGTTTGTATGGTCACATCCAGAGGGTAGTGGTGAATGGCTCAATATCCAGATGGAGTTCAGTGACAAGTGGTGTCCCTCAGGGGTGTGTCTTGAGACCAGCACTGTTTAATATCTTCCTCAACAACATAGAGAGGGAGATCAAGTACACCCTCAGCGAGTTTGCAGATGACACGAAGCTGAGAGGTGCAGCTGACATGCCTGATGGACAGGATGCCATCCGGAGGGACCTGGACAAGCCCAAGAAGTGGGCCTTTGTGCAGCTCAGGAGGTTCAACAAGGCCAAGTGCAGGGTCCTGCACCTGGGTTGGGCAACCCCTGGTATCAATACAGGCTGGGGCATGAAGGGATTGAGAGCAGCCCTGAGGAAAAGGACTTGGGGATACTAGTGGATGAGAAGCACAACATGAGCCCGCAATGTGGGTTTGCAGCCCGGAAGGCCAAGTGTATCCTGGGCTGCATTGTAAGAAACGTGGCCAGCACATTGAAGGGGCTTATAAGAAAGCTGGGGACAGACTTTTTAGCAGGGCCTGTAGAGATAAGACAAGCGGTAATGGTTTTAATCTAAAAGAGGATAGATTCAGAGTAGATATAAGAAAGAACTTTTTTTACAATGAGGGTGGTGAAACACTGGAACAGGTTGCCGAGAGAGATGGTATATGCCCCATCCCTGTCAACATTCAAGGTCAGGCTGGACGGGGGCTCTGAGCAACCAGATCTAGTGGAAGATGTCCCTGCTCACTGCAGGGGGGTTGGAATAGATGACCTTGAAAGGTCCCTTCCAACACAAACCGTTCTATGATTCTGTGATTTGCATTTCTAGTTGTAGGTGTTTCCTATCATAAATGTTCCTGTGTAGTAGAAATGTAATTTTATGAAAAGTGAGAAGGAAGCACCAGCAGCTGGTTATCGTCTGGTCTGAGATCTTTACTTTATATTTTCCAGCAGCATCTTGAAAATTAGATTCCAAAATGAATCCTCACAGTCCCTTCTTTTTCTGATCTGGGCTGTGTTTCCTGATGCCTTTTCCCAAAGCGGATGATGTATGATCCTTTTGTGCAATATCTGCCTTATCCTCAGTAGGTCCACCATGATTTTCTGACTAACTGGCTCATACACTGTTTTCCATAACTGCTTACAAAGTCTAATCTTTCAAAGTCCAAAAACTCCTCATTGCTTTAGTAATTTCTTTTCAGCGCACACATAGACTCGTGAACCTGAAGAACTACAGAAATAAGAGTAATAATAAGCATAATAATCTATTCCAAGTACAAGTATTATATGTGTTGCTTGTAATTCTGACAGTGCAATAATTCTCTACAGAAATCAAAGAACATTACCAGAAGTACTATTTTTGACATCTTCACCAGTATTTCCCTGCTTTTCTCTTAAACATTCATCAAATGAACATAATTCCTGCTTCAGATCTACTAGAGCTGTCAACAGTGTCAAGTGTGTTACAATAACTTTCACTGCTACCCATCTCAGCAAAGCTGAGGAAGCTAGAGGAAAGCTGGAAAGCTAGAGGACCTTGTATTATGTTTCTTGCCCATGGGGGCGGGCTGGCATGGAGCTGGCAATTTAGTTGAATGCAAGTATTTTGTTCTGCCTGATCTATACCTTTAAAGAAGAAATGAATAGGCAGAATTTGTAATCCACTATTTCTAATACTTACTGTACAGTTATTAGCAATATTGATATCCAGCCTGAGTACTATTTTATCCTGTGTCCAAACTGTATCTTTGAAGGAGGCTTTCTCTTGGTTCTTGAGGCATTCTGTCCAGGACCACAAAGTTTATAACAACTCTGCTTTCTATGGCTTCTTTTTCCAATTTATTCTCTACCCACCCAACTAAATAAGGAAGTTTTCTGGGTTGCTTTTAAAACTTAGGAGACAACAGCATGAGACAAGTCAGATTCACAGCTACTGGTAGGCAAAATAAGCTCGCATCTGTGACCCTGGCCATGGAATCAGGCTAGCTCAGTGGAATCAGCTCAACATTATCATATACAATAAATACTGTCTTACATACCCTTTAGGATTCAGAGATTTACTGGTGGCTTCTGCCGTACTTGTCACACATTTATGCAGTCTTCTTCTAGAAATCTGAGAATCTGCTTATACCTTTTTAGGCAAGCTGCAAAATGGAAGTCCAAATGATAACACTATTCTTTAACTAATGTGCTGCATTATCCCATAGAATGGTAGATACGGGAAAAAAATACACATATTTGAAAACAAACATACATTTTTGGAAAATAATAATATAGAGCAAACTGCCAGTTCCTCAGCCTAGCATAGACACCTAAGTGGAATAGTAACAAGTTAGTGTCATGGCTGCTGATGGCATCAAGAAGGATATATGAACACATACGGAGGCCAGGGCTTTAGGAATTGGGTGTTGGTATTCCAGGTTTTTTATAGAAACTGAAATAAAACACAGTCTTCTGGCTCATAACCTTAACTGGGCAAACATTCACTACATAGAATCATAAAATCTTAGAATAGTTGGGATTGGAAGAGACATTATAGATCACCTAGTTCCAACCCCCCTGCCATAGGCAGGAACAACTTCCACTAGATCAGGTTACTCAAAGCCCCATCCAACCTGGTCTTGAATAATTAATAATAATAGTAATTTATAGGATGATGTCCTACTTATAGAAAGGTTCGGTAAATTTCTATTTCTCAAACCTTTCTGAGGATTATCTGAAATGGAGGTTAAATCAAATCTAATGTTCTATGGCAAGTGATCCAGAAAAGGAGAGTCAGATTCCATAGCAGGGTAAGATAAATCCAAAGGGAGAGATGAGTAGATGATCTCCTCTGCTCTTGTTGCAACCTGACAGTCATAAGCACCTGATTTTAACACCTGTGCCATTTTCTGACTGGAAATACCATCTAAAATCATGCTTGCTCAAATCAAGAGCTCAAGATTTGGGGTTTGCTACATCTGTCCATGAAGACGCACCTTAAATTTTGGCAGAAATCAGTAATGCGTCTGGTAGCAGCTCTCAGGCAAATTGTATCCTCTTTAAAAATTCTACCTCCTGCATTATTTATTGCCAAGACAACTAATGACCTTCCAACTTTCAGAAGCTTGTAGCTGCTTAGATGGAGCAAAGGGTACAATTCATTTCTGCCCTGATTTCATAGCTGTTGGCTCGAGGTTTGCCAGCACTACAGGTAATGCTGAATTTTGCCACCCCAGGGAGGAGATGGCTGAGAGTAGGTCAGGGACAGTTGAATCCTGGAAAGTCCTTTACATTTGTACCACTTACTTACTCTAGCCATAGCCACCACCTCACATAACCAGCCATTTCTTTGCACTGCAGCAGCAGCCAGCCTGACTTTCCAGGTGCTGGCAAAGGCAGCATGGCCGTGCCGCTCCCTAGGGCATGCTGTTGCATTTTTTCTGGATAGCAACAAAAGAAGCACAAATTCTGTTTGTATGTGTCGTATTTTGCTTTCAGCAGAACAAAAGGACTCCCTTTAAAAATCCATAATAGCGAGCTGAGACTTCAACAACAAAAGTCTTGTTATGTCTAGTGAAGAAATACAAGTAGCACTCATCCAATACCTGGATGCTACCTTCGATGGCATGACGGCAGATGATGAGTGACTTTTGTCTTTTATCCTAAGAGCTTTAAGCTGTACATATCACTAATACCACTGTATGTATCATTAACCTGCTGGCCACGCTGCTTTTGAGGCAGCCCAGGATACGGTTGTCCTTCTATGTGTTCTATGTATTTCTACTACGTTTGGAATTACAGATATTAAGGGACTGAGATCTAAAAAAACTAATATACTCAATAAAATTACAAAGTTATAATGTGCCAATATAAAAACACCAAGATACAAGGTATAATAACTGTCAGAGGTTTAATTTAATCTGTATTTCATACAGAATACTTAAGTGATAGGGAAACAAATGAAGACAGATTTAAACACTTGTATCTCTAAAATTTTGCAGAACCCGAATAACCATAAATCATCATTATCTTCTGTTTTTTCCAGCCAGCAGACTTTACAGGAAAGAAAGCACTGAAGCAGATTAAAGAAAAGGGGCTCAAACGACAGCTGGTATATCTCACCCTGGAAACAGATAACATTGATCCAGAGGGAAATGAAAGTGTGTGGCATAACGGCAAGGTGAGGACTATAGATCATGTTACAAGAAACTAATGTTAATTCTCCATGAACAGAATCTAACTTTGTGTTTCCAGTGTAATTGCATTATTTTTGTTATACTAGCATGGAACAATTTGAAGGTATGATAACCATTTTCTAATCTTCAAGCAGGAAGCAAAGACTAACTAAATATCTACAAACAAAATGTGAAATACCATCAAGCCGCAGAAACTAGAGTTGGAACAGACTAAAATATTAGCTCATCCATTCTGTTCTCCTGCAAGTTCACCATTGTCCTAACAACACTTTTGATATTCACTTGAAAGAAACAAAACAACAGCAAAGTTTAGGCCTCCACACTTCAGCACAGATTACATGTTGAAATGCTCACTAGCAGTTAAATTATTATATATGACAACCATATGCCTGTGTATAGAGTTTGTTCCAGTGAAAACTTAATTGAACACAGTAGGAATAGACTGTTTTTCAAGGAACAAAAACTTCCCAGTTGTAGACGGTCACGCATAGTAGAGGATATTATGAACTGTATGACACACTTGAAACTTTATTGATGTGTACAGCAAAACTAGTGTATGAGATGTATAGTTGTTTGGTTTATTTGCTGTTTTTATTTAAAAAAAAACCTCACTGCATCTTGAAAATAAAGATAAATATTTGTGGTTTTTTCAGGTTATTGGCAACACCACATCTGGAAGTTTCAGTTACAGTGCTCAGAAGAGTCTGGCTTTTGCATATGTTCCCGCAGAACTCAGCAAAGTTGGACAGAAATTGGAAGTTGAACTTCTAGGAAAAAATTATCCAGCAACTGTTATACAAGAGCCACTGGTACTGACTGAACCAGCGAGAACGCGCCTTCAGAGAAGGGGTGAAAGTCCCAAAGTATGAACACAGATGAGTACAGCAAATTGTGCAGTAGGAGATAGTGCCATTAATATGCATGAAATTCAGAGAAATAAACTACTTAGACTTGTTAATTACTAAACACAAGATCCTCATTCCCATATGTCCATGAGAAATTCAATGGTGTTACCCTCCTCCTTCCTCATATGGGCTACTCGCATTAGAGATCTGAGCACAGTTCGTGAACCAGTATGTGTTCCCCTTTCCTGGTAGCACATGTGAGCAGAAAGTGGCAGGGAGTGAGCAGATCCTTGATTCAGCTTGCTCCCACATTGGCTGGCAGATCCTAATTAATGCAGAGGAGAAAGTTGCTCTTGGTATTGGCCAATAGCAAATTCTTCCTCCTCCTTGACACTCACAGTTCCTCCTTTGCCTGTCGTCAGGGTAAAGTAGCTTATCCTGGCTCCTTACAGCATAACATTGCAAACTTATTGTTAAAATATCACTAGCTCTGCACAGAAATGCTCCCTAAGGAATTGAAATACATGCCAGCAATCATCAAAAGTAATAAAGGCAATATTAAAGGCAAACTGAAGTGTTAACATTTTTTTGCAATGTGTCACCCTGACAGAAATTCTCACAGAAGATGAAAATCTAGTTCTTAATGAAACAGTTATAGGAAGCCCATTTGTCATTGTTTTATATGAATCGTGGTAGATTACATGTAATATTCTACAACACACAGGATGTTACTGCTCAGTTTTGAACAGAACTTAAAATACTGTATCATGGATTTACTGTTCTAGATCTGAAGAGGTAGATTGACACCAGAGAACTTCTGTTCTTTCTTTTCCTGTTAATTATAGATTGAAGAGCAGTAAGATCCATATGGTGTTACACAGAATATTAACAATGAGGAGCTTCATTCAGTGTTAGACATTTGATAACCCAAATAAGCAGGATCATGTAAATGATGGGAATACACTCAATTATTAAAAAAAACCTTCTGAATTCCATAATATGCTCAACAGTTCTTTTGAATAAGGACAATGTCACAATTTTCAACTTACAAAGAGTAACACTTCCCTTTAGGCTATAGATAAACCTTTTCAAAGTACATATGCATACAAATAATGTCCAAAATGTACTTTCTCCCAAAGAGTTGGTGCCTCTAAATCTTCAGCAAAGAAGTCAACATATAAACAGAATATACTAGGAGAAGCACAATTTGAATAATAAACACTTACTCTTGCCAAAGTAAGCTGACATTGCGTTGTGCTGCTCTGAGTATCTATTACAAAGCAGGTGAAAATAAAATATACAAGCTTTGGCAGGTTTTCATGTAGTACTATCTTGAATGAAAAAAATCCATTCAGAAATTATTCTTTGTTTTGCTTTCATAAGTGATTTAGTTCTACTTTGCTGAACCAATCAGATGCTACTTTTGGTGACCTTATTTGTAACGAGGCAGTTAGCCACTGTGTTTCCTTGAGAATTTAAGAAATCTAAAATACAACACAATGCAATATGCTTTTGTTTAGGAACATAGTTTTGAATTTCAGTATTTCCCACGAACATGCAAATTCACTAGATACCACGTCCTGGAGTGTACAGTAGCAGTTATCCTGAGACAGGCTCTCACAGACACTTTACTAATAAGCTTCGCTATAACAAAATTGTTTCAATGATACCTTCCACATCTCAGTCTGGAAGTTAGAATCAGGTTTGTAACTCCTTCTCCAGCCTGGAAGGTAGCGCTGTTCCTTCACATGTCAGCCAGATTGGTCTGACTGTGCAGCAGGGGCAGGCTTTCTGCAGCCTGAGCAAAATGTAATGAATCACAGATGTAAGTCCAAGTCAAGTAAGCTCGGGAACTGTGCCCTCCTTGGACTTGTACTACATTTCCAGCTGTAACCTCCCAAGCACTAATTTCTTCGTGTAACTGAGGCAGACAGATACCTGTCTCATTTTACAGTGTAATATTATAAAGGCCCAAATACTGATTTCCTTGTGGGCTGCTCATTGACAGCGGTTGTCACCCAAGTCTCACAAAGATTGATGCTTGGCCAGTTACTTTTCATTTAGTTTCAAGATTTAGGGCAGCAGACAAAAACCGTAGCATGCTGCTTCTGGGACAAGGCAGTGTGAAGTAAAGTTTCTTTCCTGCAGCCAGCTAGTAAGACCAAAACAAGTCCCCGTTCATCACTGACCATAAATAAGACAAACGGAGTATCAGAGAGCTTGTTGCATGGTTACCTCTTAAGAATGGCTGTGCTTTCTGTTTAACAGTGCATTTGGGAGCAGAGATACCTGAAGCGGTTTTAAGCAGGCATGGCAGAGTGTTAGAAGCACTGTAGCTACGATTGCTGTATGTCTGACAGGGCTTCCTAGCTGATGTACATTCTTTTTTACCACTCTGATACCCAAGTCAGCTTACTGAGTATTTATTAGGACAGCTCAACAGCATGGATAAGCTAAACTGTAAGGGGATGAAGCTTTATAAATAATGCCCGCAGAGAGGCTCACACATTTAAGTCAATCTTTCATAGTTATAGAATAAAAACAATAAACCTGAAGAAGGGGGGGGGAGGGGGAGGGGGGAGTGTTGAGCATATTTCATGGTTTCCTGTCACAGCTGGTTTTCATTATATGTTGTGATATGGTGTTGCATAAACTTGTGGTGTCAGGCAGGACACAGCAAGAGGAAGTGAATAGGAGCAAGAATGTTTAAGTGTTACATCCATGTTTTAAGAGAGTTTCTAACCAATCAAACAGAAATACCAGAGTAGAAGGACTGGCAGGGACATCTTTTGAGTCTTCCACAACCCCATTAGCTAACAGAGGAGACACCTCTGTAATGAGGTGAAAAAATGACAGTTGGTCATCTAGGAAATTTTCTGAAATATTAAAATTTCTGTGTGTGGAGAGATCAGGACATGTCAAAGGGCAGTTCTTTCAGACACATTTTTTTTCATTCTCCTTTATTCTTTTTCCATATCCAGAGAGTTTTGATGCACCAGAGTGGATGTTACTACTGCCATTGAATTTTTGTTCCAAGTTCCCATGTCCTATAGCAGGATATGCCATGTTCATACTTTGTATGGAATGATAAATCGACACGGATACCATAATCTTGTGTGTCACTCTAATGACTTCATTAATCATTGACATCAAAACAGCATCCAAATTATTCAACCCCAAATTCAGAAAAGGTACAGTGAAACATAGGAGACAGAATGTAGACCATTTCTAGGATTTATTCTTTTGATCCTCTGATGTAAATAGTATTTTCTGATTGGGATTACAAATTCCTCAAGTAGTAATAAAAAAAAAAAAAACAACCAACCACTAAGAAAATATGACAGACTGAAAATATCCAGACTGTGACTGTGCAGTATCTGCTGTGTATGTTTCAGATGGTACAACTTAAAGTTTTCACTCTGGCAGCTCAGGCAACCAAGGTATCCAAATCTGGTGGAGCAGGAAAACCAGCAAATAACTCTTGACAGTCCTCTACAAGGGAATGTGGATTCAGCTGCAGTTGAACACTGTGATACCTTTGAAAACATGTCAGGTGAATAGCTGTTACGCATTTTATTCCAAAATTTGTATCCAACATTTCCGATTCGACCAGCACTGTAGATTTTCAAAGTAATTATACTGAATGAATGAGAATGGTTTCCATGAGAATGGAAAGATTTGAATGGAACTTCATCTATAATAAGGACGTGGAAGAAGTTAGTAAAATACACAATTCAGTGAGACAGCTGGGAGTGGTGATGGGATCGCAACTAAAAACAGGATATAACACAGATAAAAACAAGATAAAGACACATGTCATCTAGCTGGACTTCTGTAAAGCCTTTGACATGCTCCCCCACAACATCCTTCTCTCTAAATTGGGGAGATACAGATTTGATGGGTGGACTGTTTGGTGGATAAGGAATTGGTTGGATGGTCACATCCTGAGGGTAGTGGTCAATGGCTCAATGTCCAGATGGAGATCAGTGACGAGTCACAGAATCACAGAATCACTGAATCAAGAGAATGGTAGGGGTTGGAAGGGACTTCTGTGGGTCATCTAGTCCAACC